AAAGGAAAAAAACTATATATTTCAAATTCTTTACAGCTTATCATAGTCGACGGGCTTTCAAAAATCTACATGAGTTACCTATAATACAACATACTATTCATTTTTTTTAAATAGATATTATTTTTTACACAAAAGTTAATAATTTTCAGATGATGTTCTTTAACATAAATTTTCAGATTATTAATTATACTATATTATTTGTCAATGTTAAAACAATTTTGAATGATAACAATACAGAAGAAATTATATCAAGTAATAAAAATTCCATGTATTATCGGTTCGATCATATTTCTTTTAACTTTTTTATTTATTTTTTATAATGATTTAAAAATAAAATGGCTTGTTGACGCATCTTTTCAAAGTGCACCATCAGTATGGATGAAAAGATCCGCGGTTGAATTACTTTCATTATATGAAGAAGCATTATCTCATAGAGAAAAAAGTTCATTTCAACCAATGTTTCATAATCATTATTTATCATTAAAATTAAATTTAACATCCATGATTAAAGATTATTTGAATTATTTAAACGATGTTTCTAAAAATAAAATTGATCATGTTAAAATAACCTGTTTGAAAAGTTCGAAAACTATGAAAGATTTTCATCCAATTTGTCATATTTATTTAAATTTTCGCTTAGATGACTTTAATTCGAAAGAAGTAAGTTTCATTTTTTTATCCCAAAATTCAAGTTGCCCATTATCATTAACAAATACGTCTGATACTATATCTGTTAATATTCATGAAATGTTCTTGGCTGATGATAAATTTCGTTTTACTTATCAATGGTGGAGTTTTGATCACGAAAAATTATTTTCTTGGTCTCAGTGGCCACTAACAATGTCGTGTTTAAGTTCTTTTTTAAATCGAAATCAAAGACAACCTTCAAAATTACCTTCGACTTTCTTTGAATGTTCTTCTGTCAATATTTTAATTCATTCAACTTCGCGAGAATTATTTATTAGAGAACAGAAAGCTGTGTCATATTGGCTTGATTTGCAGTATAGAGCATCAATTAATAGAAAATTTTTCGATAAAAATAACGTGTCAAAAAAACCAAGACGTCTAGCTCCATTTGAAATCGCAAAGAATAATCAAGTATGTCCACAGAAATTTCAAAATTGGATTTTAAACTATCAAAAATGGCATGAAAATATTAGTTTTAGTATTAGTAATCGATCCCTGACATTTGAAGAACAATTTCAACGCATAATTGAACTTGATGTTCGTTTTTTAATCTATAAGAAATCGGCAACAGGTATCGCGGATCGAATGATTCATTTCATTACAACTTATTTAGTAGCTTTATTAACAAATCGATTATTTATATTTGATAAAAATTGGCCGGAATTTATTGATGTTATGCAATCAAGTTTAAATTATCAACCAAATATTGTGATTCCTTGGTTTTCTCAATTGAATTCAATTAAGAAAAACTTATCTTTAAGTATTCAAAATAATTTAACGATCAAAGCCCATCGATTTTTAACTGAGCGATATAAACATGATTATGATTATGATAAAGATTTTCCTGAACGTATTCTTATATTTAAAGGTCATACAGGTGGTGTTATACATACAATTAACTCCAATTCAAGTATCTATAGAAAATTCTTAACTATTGATCTAGACATGAATACAGAAAATATTTTTGGATGTCTTTATAATTCACTTTTTACTTATCGTTTATCTCAATTTATTAAACGATTTCCATTAAATTCTTCAAATCAACAATTAGGTCATTCATCTCAACAAATTTTACAAACACTTTTATCACCGAGATTTTTTCCAATTGGAATTCAAATTCGTGTTGGAGATGAAACTATGATTCAAGGAAATTCTATTTCTGATGAAGAAAAAAATCTCGAGACATTTAAAAACTTTTTTAAATGTTCAGAAGATTTTATTTATATGAATGAGAATTTATTTCGTAAAACAAATCAAGTTCCAATTATTTTTCTTTTATCTGATGATCTTCAAATACGTCGAACGGCTTTAAAACGTTGGAAACTTTCATTAGAATGCTTTCTATTGTCGGCAAATAAATGTCAATCAAATAATAGTCAGTTACAAATCTTAGCCAATTCCAATCCGGTTTTACATATATCATATACAAATAATTCAATGTTAGCTTTTCAATTAGGAATATTTGATAGTTTTCTTTTTAGTCTATGTGAACAACATATAATTACTACGAAAAGTAGATTTGGTCGTTTTACAGTGTTTGCATCATTAAAACAACGAAATGTTTATTCATTGAATGTTGGTAAACAATCTTCTTGTCACAATCAAAGTTCTTCACTTGCAACTATAGGTTATCTTCGATTGGGAATTTAAGTATCCTTCTTTTTATAATATTACTATATTCGAAATAAAGAACCTATGAAAAAATCATTGTCAAATATAGAAATATTCAAATGAAAATTTATTAGTGAATGACTGTTAATGTATGTCTTCTTGTCAAACTTATCTACAAACACAGGCATCTACAATATAGCTCTAGTCCCTCGACTGAAGGGAGAGCAAGGGGGAAAGTGCTGATACCTCAGCACCTGTTCAGCACCTCATGGGGATGCACCAGATTCAGTTCAGAACTGAAGGACCGGATCCTCATGGACTATTATTTAGAGGTACCCTTCGGTTCTTATGGACTACTATTTAGAGGTACCGTTAGGTCTTCAGGGGCTATTATTCACAGGTACCCTTAGGTTCTCATGGATTATTATTTGGAGGTATCCTTAGGTCTCCATATGCTATTATTTGGAGATACCCTTGGGTCCTCATGGGCTATGATTTGGGGGTATCCTTAGGTCCTCATGTACCATTATTGGAGATATCCTTAAGCCCTCATGTGCTATTATTTGGAGATACCCTTAGGTTCTCATGTCCTATTATTTAGAGGTACTCCTGCGTCCTCATATGTCGTTGTACGACTATATACTGCGGTTCTTACCTCTTTTAAAATCCCTCGACAGAATAAATAGAAGTCTACCATGTAATAGAAGCCCATACGGAACAGAAATCCAGTCACAAGATTATCGCTTTCGAAACACACTAGAACTCCATCTATCCCAAATGAGTATAGAACAGATACTTTTGGAAATTGATAAGCGAACTCATTGCTACTTAGTATTTAATTATAGATCACTTTTATTTGTCGCAATCGGTTTGCCTTGTACATACTTTCTATTAACAGAAAAATCACAAAAATTAATGCATTTCGAGTGTTGGAAAGTATACATAAATTCGTATTAATATAGCATAGTTGTTTTAGAAATATTGAAAACGTTTTATCTATGAAACAACGCCGTTCTCTTAGGTCTTTTCTTGTGAGAAAATTACGTAGAGCTCAGAAACCAAAAGATGCAAAGGGTATGGATGGGTAGGTATGGGTGTGAGAGTCAATCTTGTCTTCACTCACATCCACATCCACACCCACATCCTCTTTCGGTCTTTTTTTATACATGTCATATGTGCATATCTAGATATTGTCTCTACAATATATTGATGGTTCAGTTTAATATTATGCTGTTTACAGTGAGTGCAAATTGGAAAATAAAACGAAAACAGTGTTAAAAATTTTTGAAACATAACTTTAATTACTTCTTTTTGTTATTATTAGAGATAATTTTATCTTTCTCGAATGACACAAGTTTTGGAAAAATTAAAAAATATTATTAATTAACTTTTATTTAATGAAAAAAAACTAAATAATTTTCAGGAACAAAAATAAAAGTTATTAAAACATTTTCAATTAACCTCTATTAGGAAAGTTAATTTATTATTATTGTTTCTTAAAAATAAAAATTGAAAACGAAGGAAACATGCATTGTCAGAAAATAAAGGGAGATAATCAAGATAAATTATTTTATTTTAAAAAATAAATAATTTAATTTTCTTTATTTTTTTTAATAGTAAGATTTGATGTATCATCATTTTCTAATAATAAATGTTGATTGTCGCATTTATTCACATGTGAAATCAAGTTTAATATCATATACTTTAATAAGATTTTTCATACAAGACGATTTGTATTCATTTTTTTCAAATTTTTTATCATTTGTGATAGGAATTCAAACATATTACATTGAAACTAAAATTATTAATGAAAAGAATTTTTGATTTCACATTCTTTTTCTTCTGTCTTCAAATCTGTACTATATAAGTGCTAAAATAGATCGATACTGAACGCTCTCTTTTCTATTACAGAGGCGGAGTGTATAATTTTTATGCAATGCCTAAAAAGTGTATGTACGTGCGAGTGAATGTAGGTTATCTCAACCGGGATTGTCCTTACTAGGCGGATCGCGACAATTTTAATTAGATGATTGTCTAATAAACCACCAATTAGCAATGTTACGGATCACTGAGTATTCGAGCGAAGTTAAAATGGTGTCCACCAGATAGAGCTCGTCGAGATCTGTCCCGAGAGGTGTATCTCATACTTGGAGTGCACTCCTAGACGAATCGCGATGGCCTTAATTAGTAAAATTGACTAATTAACCAGTAATTAGCAATTTTACGGGTCACTGAGTTATTGAATGAAGGTTAAAAGGTGACCATTAGATAGAGCTTGTCGAGTTCTACTTGAAACACTGGTGATCTAAGTTGGAGTGCACTCCAATACGAATCTATTCAGGAAAATGTCGAATTCTGACCTAAGATATCCTACGTTCAATTGACTTAAGGTTAGAAGAAAGAATTCAAATAATTTTCGATCTGTTCTGACAGATAATTCATAGTAATAATAATAACCATTAACACTCCATATTTATTAAATAAAACAAAAGAAATACATTAAATTTTATTCATTCATTGGTTAAAATTCGTCTTTGATACTGTTCGAGACCTTTTTTCTCCTCCTTTTTTATCTATCTAACATATAATCAAAGCATAAAAGAAAAGGTCTTGCGATCTTTGTCAATCATGACAAATGTTGAATAAAGATCATTGTATAATGTGAACTATCTATTCAAACATAAGAAGATTATAAAATTAACATGGAGAGAGATACGTCACGCGAGCGAAGCATTGGTAAGTCTTCAATAGATTTAAAAAGCAAACACAAATATACCTGATGACAATTTTGTTGCTATTGTTCATCTTGATATATTAACAAGTACATCTTGAAACATAAATATTTATGATGACTATTGACATTTCCATGGAAGAAAAGCGATTTTATTTATAGATTAAAATAAGTATATTAATAAATTGTCTTTTCAAATCACTTATTACATGTACAATGAGAAGAAATTTTACATGAATTCTATTGTTATTTTCATCTCTAGCTGATATTGATTTAATCCATCATTATCGTTCTATTCAATCTCCTATTACTAAACATCGACGTACACCCATTATATCGATTGTTCAACCAGATTCATTGAAAATTGTATTACCAACAGATGAAGTAACACTAAAAAGACATATAGGTTTATTCTCAGGAATCTGTTTTATTGTTGGTACAATAGTTGGTAAATGATTCTATGTTGTGGTGTTTGTCTACTATGACTTATTTCTGATTATTAGGTTCTGGTATATTTGTTTCTCCTAAAGGTGTTTTACGAGAAACACAATCGGTTGGTCTCTGTTTGATCATTTGGGTTGCATGCGGTTTGGTTTCTTTACTTGGTATGTTTTACAATATTTTTTATATATGTCAGAGACAATTTAATTTATTTCTCGTGTTTCAGGAGCACTTTGCTATGCAGAGATCGGCACAATAATACCGAGAAATGGAGCAGAAGTCGCTTATATAAAAGAAGGTATGCTAAAGTATGATTTTAAAGTGTAAATTTTTTTTCCGTAAATTGATCTTATATATATGAATACACGTGTAGATAGTTGACTGACATACAGAGTTTTATAGATAAATATTAAAGGTATAATTTGAAAAGAAAGTAGTTCAAATTGTATCAACATCATGGAAAGTTATGGCTATTTTATTAATCATAAGTAAGCATTTCATATCTTCAATTTTTCTGCAAAAAAACAAAGATATTTTTGTAATGTATGAGTGATTAAAATCGAACGGAATATTAGTTTCTACTTCTTTTTTTTTATATAATTCGACAAAAGTTCGACAAGCAAGTGAATATTAAAAGAAAACAATGCTCATTCTATTTTCAATAAGAAAATTATGGAAGTCAGGCACACTAATAAAAAATCTTATATATCTTGCATAAAATAATATTTGATATGGGTATACGAAACCAGGATCGGTACTAACATTTTTTCATTGGAACTGATAGCTTTTATAGTCGTGTGAAACTTGTGTCAAATCTTATGTTCTCACGAATCATGTGTTCTAATAGTCTATATAAAAACTATTTAATAACAATCATGTAAAGAATTGCTATTACAATTTTGATAGTAAAATGAATCATTTTTTAGTAAACAACACTGTTGTCGTACACATAAAAGTGCAGAATAGACCAAGTATTTGGAGATCACGACAAATTTCAAATTCTTACTAACTTTTAATAAATTCCTGGTTGCTGATATTTAACAAAAATAATCTATGATAAATAACAGATATTTGAGATAAAAAATGAAAAATTTTATTTCACTCATACTAGAGTTTTTTTTTTCAACGACAGTGGCAAAGACTAGTCGTTTCATTTCAATGATATACTCTTACGAGTACCGTCAACCTTAGCACCATCCTCAATCTAGAAAATAATACAACATTTTTCGCTAGTATATGTATTACTAAGTGCGAAATCAGAACCAAACATTTTTCTGATTAGGACTGAGACCAAAACAACTGGATTCCGCTCACCATTACATAATATATTTAACTTTCAATAACTTTAGTTGATCGACTGCTAATTGGTATTTGGAGACTAGCTTATTCTACCTAATGCTGAATACATGAAATCTGTATTCGTTTTTCTTATTTCCTCCAAGTTGAGTATTGGAACTAGATCAGACTTTTTTTAATATTCATATTTCCTTAGAGTTTGTCAAACTCTATCGAACCATATAAAAATATTTAGTAAACAATATATTGTTTTTGCAAAAAAAAAATGTATGATGTAAAGTGTTTAGTCATGAACAATAATACATAAAGCAATCATAACTTTTCATAATGTTGATGCCATTCAAACTATTCTCTTTTCAGATTATAGATTTAATCTTTCTCGACAAAACTCTATATTTCATCTATACATGTATTCATATAGATAACGTCTATCTACAGATAAGACTTGAGACTGTTAGATCATTCTTTAAACAGAAAAACATTAAGATTGTTGTAGAATTGTCGAGATTTCATGTGCATTCTTTTCTTTTTTTTTATTTTCAAAACACATTAAAAAAATTATTTCCTAGTATTGGCATATATCATATTATTTTGTTTACGAATTATTTTATATGAAGATATTTATTAATAGGTATTGGATTGGTTCATAAACGAACAGGAGATATATTAGCGTATCTTTTCAGTTGGGCAAATATATTTATTTTGAGACCATCAGGTATAGCAATTCTTACTCTTATATTTTCTCAATACTTCTGGTCTGGCATAATGCAAAGTATAAATTGGCTTCTATAGATAATTGTTCATCGTGTACATTTAGAATGTGAACCTTCAGCAGAATTAATCAAAATGACAGCGATTTTTACTATTTGTATATGCATTTCTTTTTGTTTACTTAGTGATTTTTAAATTATCTTTTGTTTTTTTTAGTAATGTTGATCAATATTAATTCTTTTAGTGCGTCTTTCGCTAATCGTCTTAATATCATATTTGTTATCTGCAAAGTATCGACTATTTTAATAGTAATAATAGGTGGTCTTATACGTATAGGAAAAGGTTTATTCTTGTTCTATGTGAGAAATTAAATCAAGTCATTAAAGAATTTATTTATAGGATATACACAAAACTTACGAAATAGTTTTGATGGTAGGATGCAGTTGATTACGATAATCAAGCGAATAACAAATTATCTTGTCGTATAATTATAGGTGCGACAAAAAATCCATTGGGTATTGCACTTGCATTCTACTCTGGTCTTTGGGCATATGATGGATGGAGTTCTCTTAACTCAGTGACAGAAGAACTTAAAAATCCTAAAAGGTATGATTTTGTATAGATACAATCTTTTCTCAGACAACTGAGCATATTCAAGTTGTTAAATCAAGTTGTGTTTTATTTATTTAAAAAGTTTAATATTGATAATATTTTTGCCTTTTATAGAAATCTATGGTTATCTATTGTATTGGCTTTACCTGCTGTTATAGTCCTTTATGTTCTTATTAATATTTCTTATTTTACTGTAATGAACAAAACAGCATTACTTACTTCTCAAGCTGTTGCTGTAGTATGTTGAAAAACAAAAACAAAAAAAGAAATCTGCTCTTGTAATTAAATAATTTCTTATTGGATAGACATGGGGTGAAGCTGTATTAGGTCCAGTTGTACGTGTTCTACCTATTCTTATTTCTGTTAGTGCATTAGGTACCGCTAATGCAGTGCTCTTTGGATCTGGTCGATATTGTATGGTTAGTGCTCAGTATGGATATTTGCCAGAAGTATTTGCATGCATTCATATAAGAAGATTGACTCCAATGCCTGGTGTTGTTCTTCAGGTTATGTTATTATTTTCTCCCATTTCAACTACTACTAATAATATTATTATTTGTCTTTTTTGAAGGGTGTCATTGCAATGATGTTTTGTCTTCCAAGTAATATTGAAGATTTGATCAATTTGATTGGCTTTGCTGCATGGATTTTTTATGGATTAGCATTTGTTACTACACTTTGCTGTAAATTTACACATAAGAATGCAGAACGAGTAATCAGTGTCAGTGTCTACGATTGCTTTTGGCAAGAATAAAACAAAATGAATATGTTTATATATCTAGGTTCCTATTCCATTAATTATCATTATTATTCTTATCTCGATTTATTTGGTTATTGCACCTGTCATTGCATCACCACGCATTGGATTTCTTTTTGCAACAGTTTTGATTCTATTTGGTTTAGTTTTCTATTATCCATTTATCTATCGTAAAATAGAAGTCAACATAATAAGTAAGAAAAGCGTACGTTATTTAATAATTTTATTTATTTTATGGTTTTTTTTATTCAATTTTCAGAAAAAATCAATACATTTTTAATGTCATGCTTTCAGTTAAAAAAAGCACAAG